GAAGAAAGTGACTTCTGATGATCCAGATGCAATGGAGGACTGGCAGTCGACGTTCTTGAGGTACAATGTGGAAACTGGTGGCTTTAGCAATGACAAGAGCCAGGGCCAGAAGGCCCTGCCAGACAACAAGGAGAAGGATAAGGACAAGGACAAAATCCTGAAGGCCTTAGAGTCCATCGTGTGCGTTGCTGATGTCATCAACAATGCCAGCAAAATGAAGTCTGGCTTGGAGGGGCTGGCCACAAAGGTGGAGATTATGCAGGGCAAGGCCAAGTCTAGCAAGTATGGGTCCAAGACAGTGATCAAGGAGATTGGCTTGTGCAGGGAGAACATTGCAGGCCACATCAACACTTGCAAGAACTTGTACCTGCAGAAGGGCAACAAGGGAACCCACAAGCCTGGCCAGGAAAAGCTGTTGGAGATCTACAGCAAGGTGAAGGAGATTCAGGGGTGGGTGAGCCAGCAAGCCAAAGTGTTTGGGTGACTAGTTTGAAAGTGCAGCAACATGGAGGAGCAAAGGGTGAGCTTGCAGCTTTGTCCAGGGACAGAGCATGAATGTGCAATAGATTTGCAACAAATCACTTGCTCCCTCGAATAGTTTGTGCAGCCAAGTGGAGCTACAGTTGCAAACCTGATGCAGTAATGCTGGGTGGCTTATGCAGTCATGTTGGGACAGTCATGCTGCCATGTTGGGTGGCCTTGTGCAATCATGCTGGGTGAATTTGCAGCCACCTGTTGGTGGTGGCCTTTGTGCGCCATGTGTTTCTGGACAGCTGCACTTATGTTTCATCACCTTTGCATTTGGCATGAATGACTTTGCAGTCATGAGTGGCTTTGCAGCCATGGGTGGCTTTGCAGTCATGGGTGGCTTCGCAGTCATGGGTGGCTTTGCAGCCATAGGTGACCTTGCAGTCATTCTTTGTTGGCTGGGCTGTAAGTGTGGTGATTTGTAGGTGGCTGTTCACTCATGCTGGGAGGCTTTTCTAGTGGCTTTGCAGCCATTGGGTTGACTTTGCAGTCAGTTTCAAGTGGCTTTGCAGCCACTCTCAGTGGGCTTTGCAGCCATTTTCAAGATTGCAGTTGCAACTTTGCAGCCATTTGTAGCATTGCACCAGCACTACAACAGACATACATGTATTTGTCAGACTGGTAGGACCTGTGCATGCTTCAGTTGCAAAACCCCATATGTTTTATGCATTTCCATTGTTCTGGCAGCTGCTGGCAGGTTGCAATGGGAAAGAGGAAACATGCAGACTTGGCTGCTGCTGCTATTGGGTGGGCCCAGTCCTTGTCCCCACTGGCCCATTGCTTGCTGACCAAATGGGCCTGGGGGAAAGATATCAGCAGTTGATGTTCAGGCTATTGCTCACTCTGCCAGGCTGTCAGGGTGCCTGCAAGATGACATCCATGGGCTGGCTTTGCTTGGCAACTACGGAATGGCTTCAAACAATTGTCATAGAGATTTGCTCCAGAAGGTCTCCTCCAGCCTTGCCCCAACAAGTGTGCCACTCAAGTGCCCTAGGTTGGACCCCAAGGCTGTGGGGCTGCACCATGATCAGGGGGAAGTTCCTGTGAAGCTGCCATGCATGTGGATGCACCACCTGTCCTCAAGCTCTGCATCAAATCTTGTTTTCGAAAGCATCTTTGGCACCAGCAACCTGGAGAACTTTTGGGAAGCAATGCCCATGGAAGACAAAAGGCTGAAGGGCCACCCCATGCTGAAGAAACACAACTGGAAGAGAAGGTGCATTCCTTTGCTACTGCATGCAGATGCAGCAGAGTTTCAGTCCACTGACAGCCTGATGACTGTGAGTTTCAGGGGCCTGCTGAGCTCTGAGCCCGGCATGGAAGAGCATTTGTGGATCTTTTCCTACCCCAAGAGCTGCACTGCTCATGGGGAAAATGGTACAGAACACACATTGTATTCATGGGTGGCATGGAGCTTGAAAGCCCTTCTGGAGAACAAATGGCCTGACACAGATCCTTTTGGATATGAACTCCAGCCCCCCCACCCACTTTTTCCACGTGTTGGGAAGGAGATACTGCCAAACAATTATTTTGCAGTCCTATTTGGCTTCATGGGTGACATGGAATTTTTCCAAAATGGCTTGGGCATGAGGCACCAGGGCAGCAACACCCCTTGCTACCTTTCTGGTGCCAACAGGGATCCAAAGGACAAGCCTTGGAATGATTTTGTCAGCAATGCCATGTGGAGAACTTCAAGAAGTCTCAGGCAGAGAAACCCAGCACACCCTATTTTCAAAGCCCCTGGTGTGTCCATCTACACCTTGTGCCTCGACATCCTCCATGTGCTGGACTTGGGCTTCAGCAGCCATTGCATTGGCAATGTTTGCTTTGACTTTGTTGTTTGCAAGGTTCCAGCTGCACAAAGGCAGCTTGCCCTGAAAAAACTTTGGGCCTACATACAAGAACACCAAGGAGAAGCTGGCCATGGCAAGCCACTGTCCAAGTTTACCCTGAACAACTTTACCAAACCCAAGGCACTGAGTACCACCTACCCTTGCCTGGCACACCTGAAGGCTGCCCAGGACCCTTGGCATCATAAAGGGTCTTTGTTTCCACCAAGTTTGCGGAACTCTTGTGTCAAAGTTGGCTCTAAGGTGAGGACTTTGGTGCCAGTGTTTTCCAAGCTCTGCAGAGACTGGTGTGATGGAAGCACTTACTCCTTGAAAAGGAAGGACCTCCTGGCACACTTGGACATGTACTACAACCATGTGTATGACTCTGGCCTGGTTCCTGAGAAACAAGAAGCAAGGGCAGCCTTGGGTCACATGGAAGCTGCTTTGCAAACATACCAGTTCCTGGCTGCAAAAGCAGTGAAAGAAAAAACCTGCCAATGGTCAATGGTTCCAAAATTGCATTACTGCAATGAGCTAGCCATTCAAGGCTTGACTCTGAACCCTCGCTATGTGTGGTGTTATGGAAGTGAAGATTTTGTTGGAAGGCTGTCTGAGCTTGGCTCCAGCTGCCTGAGGGGGGTGTCAACTTGCGACATGCCATTTTTGCTGTCAGAGAAACTTGATGTAGCAATGACTTTGCAGCTGGGCCAATCTGCCTAAGGAAAAAAGTGCTTTTGCCAGCAGCTCTTGTCTGGGGCCAGGAGTGGTTAATTGTGATGTGGGGCTGGGGGGTGCGAAGTTGTGGCAATCCTAAATTTAAGGTTCGTGGTGAGGAGGGCATTTGCCAACAGCTTTCAGGTGGGGCTGGGGGTGGTGGGAAGGTGGGGCATAACTGCAAAGTCATGTTCTCTGGGGGTGGTGGGAGGGTGGGAAATGACTGCAAAGTTATAAATGTGACTGCAAAGTCAGAAGGTTCCTAATTGCAAAGTCAAAGCAATTTAGGAAGGAAACCTTCAAAATAGCTAGTTGCTAGGGAAGGTCAAATATTGATATTTTTGACAAACCAATCTTGCAATATTGATATTACACCACTTACCAATCCACGATGGGAAATACCAATCTCGATTGGTTTTTTCCATCTCGCGCGAAACAAACCAATACCGGAGACTTAGGGAAAGTTTCGATTTTCGAGCTGGAGCTGCGCAAGTGTACTTCGCGTACTAGACTTTTGCTACAAAGTTGCGATTTTCGAGCGGACGTGTACTTCGCGTACTAGACTTGTACTACAAAGTTGTGTTTTTCGAGCTGGAGATGTGGAAGTGCACTTCGCGTAGCGTACTAGACTTGTACTACAAAGTTGCGATTTTCGAGCTGGAGATGCGGAAGTGTACTTCGCGCACTAGACTTGTATTACAAAGTTGCGATTTTCGAGCTGGAGATGCGGATGTGTACTTCGCGTACTAGACTTGTACTACAAAGTTGCGATGTTCGAGCTGGAGCTGCGGAAGTGTACTTCGCTTACTAGACTGGTACTACAAAGTTGCGATTTTCGAGCTGTGGAGATGCGGAAGTGTATTTCGCGTACTAGACTTGCAGTACAACGTTGCGATTTTCGAGCTGGAGATGCGGATGTGTACTTCTCGTACTAGACTTGTACTAAGTGTACTTTACGTACTAGACTGGTACTACAAAGTTGCGATTTTCGAGCTGGAGATGCGGAAGTGTACTTCGCGTACTAGACTTGTACCTCAAAGTTGCGATTTTCGAGCTGGAGCTGCGGAAGTATACTTCGTACTGCAAAGTTGCGATTTTCGAGCTGGAGATGCGGAAGTGTACTTCGCGTACTAGACTTGTACTACAAAGTTGCGATTTTCGAGCTGGAGCTGCGGAAGTGTAGTTCGCGTACTAGACTTGCACTACAAAGTTGCGATTTTCGAGCTGGAGATGCGGAAGTGTACTTCTCGTACTAGACTTGTACTACAAAGTTGCGACTTTCGAGCTGGAGATGCGGAAGTGTACTTCGCGTACTAGACTTGTACTACAAAGTTGCGATTTTCGAGCTGGAGATGCGGAAGTGTGCCTCGCGTACTAGACTTGTACTACAAAGTTGCGATTTTCGAGCCGGATCTGCCAAAGTTCGAAAACACTGTAAAACGATAAGGTCTCCCCCAAAAACGATAACGTTCAAAAAAGTACTAGGGCCAAGTAAAGTGTTTCGTCCGCTCCTCATATATATATATATATTCATATATATATATATATATATGTATGTATGTTTATATACACTATTTGCTTTACGTGTGTACGCACACACACACGTGTACATGTGGCCAGCCAGGAGGTCATCAACAGGATGTGACCTTTTGCTGTCAGCCAGCAAGTCTTAGCCAGATGAGCTTTTGGTCTCAGGTGCTCAGTCCCGGGCAGATGCCAGTAGGCATTGGGAGTGCCAAGAGGCCCCGCTTAAAGCCACCAGTTGTAAGTCTGTGTTCCTTGCTGGCCACAAGCTGTTTGTCTCGCGTTTTGTTTGTTGATTAGTAACTGGGTGGGGTTGATGCATCAGGGCCAGCTGCTGTTCACCCAAGGATGCCACCCAGGTTAGCATCCTGTGCATGTGCGTGTGTGCACCTTTTCTATCAGGTTCGGCGACCCAAAGCTGGAGGCGCGTGCGGAGGGGAGTGATTTGCCCAGACAGGCATGCTTATTGTGCATATATATATATATATGTTCATATGTAGTATGTACCCCCCCCAAGCAACAAAAAGATAAAAGGAAGCACCAACAATTTGCGTCCTTATTTAAACTATGTGTTTGCTTCTTGGAGCCGGTCCTCAGTTTATGGTTCTCTCCTGAAGGCGCTTTCAACCAGATTATGATTACAAATATGTTCCTGACAAACCGATAAATGAATGTATTGATGAAGGGTGCGTATAAAGGTTATATAGGCAGTCAGGGTCCTCCGTGCGAACCGAACATATCTCCCAGTTTTCTCCTGCACGCGACACGTTTCTATGGTGGTTGCTCCGAGGGCTTAACCACATATCTGTTCGGGGAGATCGGCGCCCCTGATCTATATCCAATGTATTTCCATGACATGTGAATATAAATGTGCATATATACACACTACATACCAGGATGTCTAAAGGGAGTTGTCGATGTCTCCATACATATAAACATATATATATATATATACATGATACACACAGAAGGGTGTGTGTGTGTGTGCATGTGTATATATGTATATACATATGTATACATATATGTATATATAAATATACATACATACCAGAGTCCTACTTCTCAGCTCGGGTGCCTTTCGCGACTGGCAGGTTCATGCAGGGCAGCCGCTTCGAGAGCTTAACGAGGAGGAGCGCTCAACTCCACTGCCCAGGGTCTAATAGGATCCAACTGATTGGCTCTATGTTGATGGATTCAACTTGGGCAGCTCTGAATGAGATCTAGGGCTCCCCAATTCTGATATACGACTTCATAAGGGGCTCTACACTAGGACCCTTTTTGGAAACCCTCGGTGTTCCCGCCCTCCGTTTGCCAACCAGAAGCATCAGCTTGTGCAAGCCAAATCCTTCTTGCAGTAGACCACTAGCTGTCAGTGGCAGTGAACCTAGCATGGATGCAGTACACGCAATAGCCTTTGTATACTGGAGGGTGGGGTGTGACCAGAAGATTCACGTTCCCTTGACAAGGGCACATGTTGAGGCCTGGGGTGTCAACAGTTTACATCAAACCATGGCTTCTACTCCATCCGGAACCCCAAAATTGGGGGTTCCCAGTGGATTCCCCTCACAATCACCCCAAAAGGGTACACTTGAAAAGACACCCCCATTGCCATCGCTTTGTCTGCGTCAGGAGTTTCGGAAGTGGCCTGTGGGGCGACTGCAATTTGCTTTGAACCAAGTGGAGAAGGACGGCGATCGCCTCGCAGAGCGGAAAGAGGATTTGCCCTTGGAAGATCCTGGGGTGGGCCGGAAGACATGGGGACTAGGTAATCAGGCGGCTTATCCCGGTGTTCACGTGACTGCTGTAACGATGTCTCTAGTGAGTCCGATCGTCCCACGGAGGAGCTGGGCAGCAACCGTTTGGAGCAGCTTCCGGCGTTGGAGAAGCAGGACACACCTTCGTGGGCGATGTGTCAAAGGGACTAGGACATGGCGTCGGCTTTCCTTTTGGCTTCCCTTTGAACCAACGAGAACAGGGAACCCTCAAAAGTAAAGTGCACAGACAGAGACACAGACACAGAGGGGAAACAAAGACACAGATAGAGACACTCAGGACCAGACACAGAGACAGACACACACACACACACAGAGACACGCACACAGAGATTGATTGCTTAGAAGTTGAACAAGTGTTGGACCAGCGTCACCGGGTAAACGGGGCTTACCCTCCCAGGAGCAAACATGGAGCCTGAGAGGGGCCCCTTTCAAAGGATTTTCCACGTTTGTTTTTGGGCGCTTGCCCAAGCTGAAGGTGCCTTGCCTCTGTTTGATGTTGTTTCCGGGCATGTCTACAATCGTTCTTGTTTTGTTGGGGGGGGGGCGGGGGTATGGCCTGACTTCGATAGTTCTACCAGAATGGGGCCAGATCATTGCAGCTGTGAGTAAGTCTGTTCATCGCAGCCATCAGCTCACGCATGGCGTATTAATCATCGAGCATACCTTTATTGGTTTTGTGGAGTCTGTGCAGGCTGGCGTGTACGCACGGTTGTCCGCAGAATTCCTGGCCATGCGCTCTCTTGCTGGACTCAGCGCAAGTAGCTTGTGTTTTGCCTCGTTGACTTGGTTTGAGACATCACACACAGGTGATCCGTTGTCAAGCAAACCGGTGTGTGATTGAGTGCCGCAATACACACTGTCAGGCTGCTAGACTGCAGTTGCTCCTCAGCATCATTGAATCATACGTAGTACTAGACTGCATTTTCTGACTGCCACACAAGATGATGCATGCTCAGAATCCGCTACCTCTAACTTAAAATTGTTCACGTAAGACACGCCCGCAACACTCCCCTTTGACAATGTCTACACAATGAACCGAGTCTCCACACGCTCGCAAGCCCACCTTTAGGTTTCCCTCTCCGTTGTTCGTCCTTTTAGATTGGGCATGTATTGAAGGGAAGCCCCCCCAAACACAAATGGAGGTGTTCCTTTCGGTATCTCTTTCCGCTGGCCCGTAAAGGGCACCCTCAAAGCTTCGCTGGTTTGACAACGGTACCACATATCCCTTTGACCACTCATTTGGCTATGTGTTAGACTAGGGTGACCCCCAAAATGGGTGGTTGCTCCTCCCATGAGGGTACCCTCAAACAAAGACACACACACACACACACACACACACGCACATATTCTGGGAAGAAGCCCACCAAGTCTCCCTGCAATGATCCTTTTTTTACTGAGGGGTTCCACTTCTCAGACCGAGAAGCCCCGAGTTGTTTGTTGGCCCTGCTGCTTAGGAGCTGGTTGACCGGCTGCTCCGTGCTGCCGAGCGAGGCCTGTTGATTGAAGACGATGAGGAGAGGTGCAGTCCATGAGAACGCCCTTATGGTCGCGTGTTTTGGAGGGTCACCTTTTTTGGTTCAAAGGGAAGCCACGAGGAAGACCATGATTTGGGGGTTCCTTGTATTTTGACACATATTCTGATATGAACCCTGGATTCATGCTGCAAATGCCTGATTCATGCATGGGTGGAAACAAAGGATCCCCAGATGATTAATTGGGGCGGGGGTGCCCGATTCGCGAGGCCTGTTTTTCTTGGCTGGAAAGAGGCTTTGAATGGATCTGACTTGCCCGCGCCCATGGTTCCGGTCTATCAAGTGATGGACCAAATCCACTGCGCACTATGTAGTTGGAATGGAAGAAACCCCATGACTGGGATAAACCATCGACCAACTGATGCCTGGCGTAGATTTTGTCCAACCACAGCATCGCGTGAGCAATCAAAACAGCGTCCGCCCGTTCAGTTCTTTCCCTGTGGGTTTTGTGCAACCCAGGCTTTGCTTGTGACTCAAATGATACCATTTGGACGGAAGAGCTCACCCTTGAGGTTGATGAAGGTCCTCCACCCGGGGGTTGCCTTATTTCCAGTGTGGGACTTACCCTCCACCTGGCACCTGGCAGGGGGAGTCATTGTCTCAAAGGGACCCCGGTACTGTCAAGGTCCATGTGAATTGGTGGGCCCAGTGGGAGGGTACCGCAAGTTGCCCAGATCCCATGGTCATCCGCCCTAGGAGACCGGCGAGCCTTTGGTGCGCTTCTCCCGGCGGCTCACGCATCTGCTGCCGCAGGTGGGGCGGCGCTGGCCACACCTGGCCCGCACCTCGCCCGGAGAAGCGAAGCGGCCCCGCCGGGGGAAAACGTGTCAGCGACACTGCTCCCTTTTTTTGGAGGGAACTTGTTTGGGGCGGGTTGAGGCAGCATACTTGCTTTCAACATGGCGTACCTTGTTGTTATTTGTTTTTCACGCGGGGCCCTTTGTTTCACGATAGACCATTGCCAGCGGGATACGACGAGTCACCATGTCATAGCCAAAGATGTGTCCATGTGGGAGATGGCCAAGGGTCGTTTGAAATGGGCACGAGCCAGAGGGAGTTTCTCGGTGTTAGGAAAAGGCGAGTTTGATGGACCTCAACAACCCAGAATTGAACAAATTGGATCAGATCCAAGATCCACAATGCCCAAAGGACATGCGGGAATCACTGCGAATCATACTGAATCCAGAACACCTCAGGCATTTTGGCATTTGGGCATGTCCAAAGCACGTCCACCGAAATCATGTTTTGTTTTTTTGAATATTGGTGGGTTTTCCTCCGACGGCCTGCCTACCTTTGAAGGCAATCCTTGCAAGTTTGCAGGCTTCCCCTCCTTGCAAGCGCATATATGGGTGTGTGCGTGAGGGTTTTTTGAGGGTATGGTTTCAAGGGAATCCAAGAGAAAAAGGGACCCATTTTGGGGGTACCCCAATTTAGAGACACACCCAAGGACCGCTATGTCTGCCAATTTTGAAGTGTTAGATCTTCAATCTGTCCCGCTCTCTGGCTCAGCCTTTATCAGGGTCAAAGCTTGCACATTGTTTCAGCTTGGCATCCCAAACCGGGAGCAAAGGGGGGCATACTATATTTTGTTAGGGAGTTGTGGCAACCTTGCAAGGAGAGTGACCCATGAAGATTCCCTGCTTGGGGTTCCTTATTTCAGCAATGGACATCTTCCAGGTTTCCCGGTTGGTTGCTGAACCCAGTTGTTCATTGCCACCCTTAAATTCCCTGAGTCTTTGGTGGTTCGGGACCCACTAAAATGGAATAATCCAGCCAAACAGAAACGGTTCCCTTCTCAAAGTCACTCTTGCTCCGTCTTTGTCTGTCGGTTGGTTTCCAAAAGTCCAAGGAACTGGGCAACACCAAACTTCAGAAACTGGTCACGCTCCATCCCGCTGCAAAAAATGTAAACAGCTGGTCAACGCTCAAAGCCCTAAGAATGATGCACCACAAGACACCTAAAACTTCAACCACAAGCAGCTCCCAAAATGGTCAAACTCAACCAGGTCCAAAAGACCTGGTCAGCCACAAACAACTCCAAACGAGCTGGTCAGCCACATTTTTCGCTTGGGCGCTGCTCCGTCAGCCCCTCAGCCTCCCTTCGGCGAGGCCTCGGCCCCCTGTGCGCGGTGCGGGCGGCGGGGCTCATTCTGCAGAACCAGCTGCAGCAGCGTCTGGGCTCGGGATGCAGCTTTCACCGGCCGTGGGGCAAAAACCCGGTTAAGCCCAAAATGGCTGGCCCGATCGGTAAGTGGAACGGTGGCCAAAACCTGCGCTTTGCCCCTCCTGTTTAATATTTGGGGCAAAAAACAAGCTAAGTGTTGGCACCCGAAACTTTCATCTGGCAGTTGAAAAACTACTCCTTGTAAAGCTTTCGATGTATAAGGCTCCTCGGGTCATAAAGCTTTGTCGAAGCTCCCCTGGAAGATGGAAACAAAGACCACCACCTGCGGCACCCTAGCTCTTTCATTTTGACCCATACACAGATGGATGGCCAGAAAGGCTGGCATCAGGCAAGCAAGCATCACAAGTTGCCCAAGCAAGTTTCATAGTCCGGGTCTCAAAAGGTTAGTTTGTTGTTTCGACCTTTGGGCAGGGAGAGCAAAAACAGAAACACCGCAACAAACAGACGCCTGCGTTGGTGACACTGGCAACAGAGGAATCGACAGGTCGTGATTGGCTTTCCAGTTTTCATTCGGCTTCTAGATCCCCTGGGCAAGCAAGCGGTTGCTGTAAATGCCACAAGAAGTCAAGGCGACCCACAAGCAAAGAGCCCATGACCCGGGGATTTGTGTCTCAAGCAAACAGATATAAATAAATAAGTATATATATATATATACCGGGGATGATATCCAGTTGGACTATGATCCGTTGGGAGGGGCACTGTTTGTTTTTTTCCCACTGGTCAAAGCGTCGCAAGAGATCAGGATGAATGGACACCAACTCGGATTTATAGCTTTGTCAATCTCACTCCCGTACTTGTCCACTGATGTTTTCTTGCTTGGTGCAGTGTTTGGTATGGGCCCAGACAGGATCTGTTCTTTTGCAGCACGTTTGCTTTGAGTGATCGAGCTGTCGCAAATGGCAAACAAAAACACAAAAGGAGGAAGAAGAAGAAGGCGAAGAAGCAAAAGATACAGTGTGTGTGTGTGTGTGTTCGTGCGTTTGTGTATACGGTTGGGTGTTTGTGTATTTGTGCGTCTCGTGTGTGTGTATGTGTGTTTCTGGGTATTTGTGTGCTTTTGTGTTTGAGTGCCGCCTTTGTGTGTGTGTGTCTCCCTCTACACGCAGCTGGCTAGAGCACAGATTTGGAACAGCCCAAGTGGTTTGCCGTACCAAGCAGATGCCACGCTTTGTCACAGAAAGTGAATGGAGCCGTGTCCCAGAGGCAGGTTGGCTCGACTTGCTAAGGATGAATGAGAGCGTGAAGGAGCAACAGGACTTTGGGTTTGCCTCCGAATTGGGGAGCCCTGAAAACGCATGGTTCGCTTTGCACACCCTCAAACATGTCACACCCATTTGGGTGCCGGCCGGAGAGCATCGTTCAGGTACGAGTCTGGTTACTGTGGAATCTTATCTACTGTTGCGAAGGGCGTCAGGCTCGCCTAATCAACATGGTAGGGTCATCCAGCAAAGATCCATTTTGGTGTCACGTGTGCGCTATAGCATAGGCGAGATAGATGTAAACCCCACCTTTGATTGTAGGGCAGACGTGTGCTCAAATTCGAAGGATGCCTGGCCAGTGTTGCATGATGCTAAGACATCCTGCTACAACCCAGCTTTTGTGAGCACTATTATGCTTGGTAGGTTGGTAGGCTACAGCGTACATGTCAAAACACAGGCCTTTTGGGTCCCGTTCTTTCATTCACAAACGCAGCCGGAGTGTTTCCTTCAAAGAGGGCCCCCCAAACACCCTTGTGTGTTCCATGGCGATGTGAGAGGTTACTCAATTGCGGCTGGTCTTCGGTGCCACGAAATTGAAGCACGGCTGTGCTCCATTTTTCGAGTGTCAAATCATGCGGGCATTGTTCTAACATGCATAGCAGCTTGTAAGGGGTAAAATGGTTACCTGCATCGCGAAAGGTCTGCCATTGGCAGGGACTATATAAATGCAGGGGCTCAGCAACGAGTGTAGCATTGAATGAGAGGACACATAGAGGCCTGCAAAAAGTCGGTGAAGGGTCGGCAGAAGGCTGCCGAAAGGCCGGCGATAGGGTGAATTCCAGGCACCTTTCTTTTGAACAACACCCACGTAGACCTGGGTAGGTGCCCCTGATACTGCCAAATAGTTGTTTTCGACATGATATATAGATCCCCTAAACATACACATATTCACACACTACAACTACACTACACTATTCACATGCAACATAAGCGTTGGATGTAGACCAGAAGTAATTCCAGGGGCTGATCCGCTGATCCCTCGCAGGAGGGTTTCCGACAAGCTTCTGAGCAGCACGGGCAAGGTGTCCAGCGCGGACCCCCGGGGGCTAGCTCACGTGGATGGAACTGTGAGGCATGAATACATGTAATGTTGTTTGTCATTCCATCAGGTGTTTGTGAATTTCCGTCAGCCACAATACACATGCCATGTGCATTGCATATGCAAGCCTGTATAATGTGCGCACGTGTTTGTTGTATTCATATTAAAATAGACATATACAAATGTATGTACATAGATATGTGCATATGTTTGTCAATTCCAAATTCCGAACATGTCAGATTGATAGTTTACATTCAACACGAGTAAGGGTGTAGACAGCGATGGAGAGCTAGTATCATTTGTATCAATTTGTTTTGTAAATAAACGCTTGAGACCCTTTCAGGATGGATCCACTATCCAACACGTCCCTAGAGTTATCGCCAGAAGGCGAGGGAGTATTTGACTCACCGTCCTCAGAGGCTCACCTTTTGTTTTGCCTTTTGAACAAGTTGGAATCGATTAAAACTGATGAACCCTCCTTTGGCTGATATTGTTTGAAGGAAGCCACAAGGACACCAGGACCATCCGTCTTGGAAATCGGCAACCAGCAAATCCGGCACTTACTGAGTCGTGGGGTGTCCGGGACCCAACGGAATTGGAATTCCGGAGCCTCGGGTAGCTCTCAGGCAGCAACAGGAGGAGGCCTGGCGCGGGATTCTGGCGGAAGTGCACGCAGGCTGGGTCTCATTCATAGGTGTCCTTTAGGTCAGTTTGGTCCGTTGATGGACTTGTTTATAGTGGAACTTTCAACTTTTTGGGGTAAACATGTTGTTGTACAATGGTAGCCAACAGTTCAGACTTTGTTTGGCTACCCAGGAAGTGATATTCCACTCGCTTCAGTTTGGTTCTTGTCATGTGCCAGTGCAATCTATGTTTGCCAGTTTTTTCCCCGGGACAACTAGATTGCTGACCAGATCCAGCCAGCAAAAGATACTCAGAACTCTAAAGAAGCCTAGGGAATGCACAGGTATGTTGCCCCTGCGTTTGGGTGCATTTCTCCCGCTGGACACCCCTTTGAGCTAGCAACCCTGGCATGCCTGGCGTGTGGCTTCTTGTCCAAACCAGACCCTACTTCCGATGCTGCTGGTTTCATCGGTCATATGTGACGATTCAGTGCCCCGAATGGTTGGATTTTCCCTAAGAAAGAGACTCACCGACAAAAGGCAGGAAACCCACTGTCAGCAGGGGAACCCCTTGTGAAGGCAGGGGGAGTATCTGAGCAATTCCTCAACTTTGAGACAGCCATATGCGCTGTGACTTTCCAATGGTAGCCCGGGCAGCCCGTGCAAGAATGAGACCTACTCAGCCGTTCCAAGAGCAAATGTGACTAGATTTCCCTCGTAGTTGATGTGACCATTATTTGTGGGCCAATTTGAAAAGCGTCTCCTTTCGATAGGGTAATGTTTCGAGACAGGAAAGCACCCTGTTCTACGTATGAGACGCACACACACACACACCCACCAGCTGATAGGTGCACAATAAGCTGGTCTGTGTTGGTTGCAAGCGTTTGGCCTGTATCCTTTCCAAGCTTGAAGCTTACAGAGGCGCCTCATCAGCGTACTGTTCCGCCGGCCGCCGACCTGTTGACATTTAGTTTTGCGCAGCTTCCTGAAGCAGCAGCGAATCCTAGACGTTTCCTCAGCAGTGTCAAAGCCAAATTGCCGTGTCTTTGTCGAAACGAAGCGAAGACGGAGGTGCCAATGTCAGCAACAATCCAACACCGCATGAGCGGGTGGTGGGGGTATCAAAGGAAGCGGCCCTCTTTGAGGAACCCTCTTCAGCGATGGTGCAAACGAACCAAGCTCCCTTCGTATGTGAGTCACTTCCCGAAAAGTCAGACACTGGAAACCAGGAATCAACCAAAGCCTGGGCCCGCGTATCTCATAAGTCATCCACCCCTGACAAAAAGGAAGGCTTGATCAATGTCACTGGGGGTCTTCACCCGGCCGGCTCACTCGAGAGGAGGGTAGTCAGCAAAAATATGTGGCCCAACAAATGGGACGCGTTTGTCTTTATTCGAAGGCAAGTCTGTTTGGAGGAGGAGGGTAGTCAAATAGATCTCGGTTTCCCTTTTGGTTTGCCTTTAGAATTAACCAAACAGGGGTTACCCCAAACGGGCGCATCCACAAGAGGTGGGGGAGGGACGCACCGAGAGGCGTGCTGCGGCAGCAGGGCTTTGTGGACCTGGACCCCGGCAGGTGCTTTGAAGCCGAAACCGAAGGCGCGGGGGGGAGTCCCCTGACCGATTCGCTTGTTTAGTTGAAATCAAAAGGTGTTCAGACATCGATCCCATATCCAGTTGGCAAAACTGGTGTAAACTGCTGTATAGACAACCAGCTGCCATAAAACCCCTTCCATATAAACTATCATCAGGATGTTTAGACATGTTCATTTTTGTTGAAAAGGGAGGGGGGGGGGCGACTAAGGGCTTTAGTTTGAAAGTTCAACCCTGTGCTGTTCCAGGAACCCGCAGCTTCGCCCGCTGCTGTAGCGTTGGGGACCACGCGGAGGAATGCTTCGGTGAGGCGCGTGGAGAACGTTCACCTTTTGTGGGGGCATTTTACAACGGGAACCACAAGGAAAGCCACCAATATTGGAGATGCCCCTGTTTTCAGATCTGCAGCCTGTTCTCAGACCTCAAACCTTGAGGTTGCGGCGGTGTCAAGAGCAGGTTGTACCAGAAAATGGTGTCAGATTAATTCAGCTGACAGTCTTCTGTCAACGAACGCCTACACGTATTTTTCAACAACCCATACCTGCTAATGCTCTAGTTTCTGACCCCAGACCTAATAGTTTTCCACAAACCCTCCCACATGTTAAACCATAAACCAAACTTTCGACTGCACACGGTATTTGATCAAGCCCATGGTATAAAACTATCGTCTTCAAGCCCATGGTAGTGGAAACAGCCACACGATCTTTGTTTAAACATGCATACCAGAAAACGGCTTTGGACACGCACACCGGCCGCTTTTAATCAGGTCCTTTTGAAAACAAAAAGCAAAAAAACCAGCAACACAACTAGCAGCGCACAAATCGACTAACACAAAACACCTAAAATCACCAGACTCTGATTCAGCCCGCGATACCCCCACGATTGAACTTCCGCGTTTAAGCATTCACCGCCAGACTCCGCTTTACTGGGTCAATGTATATAGCATTTTCTATATTTTATGTCCTTGCTTTCTAAAATGATGGTGGAATAGATGATGAAGTATCGTTTTTTCCAACATGATGGTAGAATAGATGATTAGAATCTAGTTTTAGGGTTTAAGGCTGTGGCTTAAGAATCAGGGTTTGCCTCTGACCTGTGTCGTGGGTAGCCAAGGGAACCACCCTTTAAAACCAAAATAAATTGGCTGGCTACCTACGTTAAGGGTGTACCTCTGGCGGCCCTTAAACCCTAAAACTAAATCAGCCTGCATGAGAGTTTACCCCAGGTTTCAGGGTTAAGAATCAGCGCCTTCAAGTCAGGCTGTGGGTTAAGCGCCTTCAAGGCCGCCCGTTGATAAGGCGCTTTCCGCAGACCGCTGCTGCGGCCGGGCGCGGCGCGCCGAGGGCCCCGGCCGGGACCTGGTGGCGGCGGCGGCGGCGCAGCTGGGCGGCGCGTCCAGCCGCCGGCCACCGCCGGAGGTGCTGCGCCTCGGCTGATGCACTTCGCACTTCCTGGCCACAACTTATTTATTTCAACTTTCATGTGAAAATGCAAAGTTGTGTGGTAAAAACTAAAGACTTTTCTTTTATTAAAGATCTGCAAATAACGCCGCGAACCAGTGCACGATACTCTGAAGAAAGGACATAAGCAGCGGAAAGGATGCGGCAGCACCAAATTCGAACATGTCTAAGTCACCGCGCCTTGCGCCGGCTTCCAACAAGGGGTCCTTTTTGTTCCCCCTTTTCAGCCGGTTTGAATTAAGCATCACCATGTTGGTTGCCAACATAATATAGTTGCCCCGTCCATATCCGAGGATCCCAGTGGTGGACCGCTGGCTGAAGGACCCTGCCGGTCTTTCCTCCGGCGAGACGAACAGTATGGCGGTGGTGCGGCTGCTTGTGGAAGAAGTGCAGCCCCAGGCGAACGGATCCGTCCAGCCGGACCTCTGGTAGTGTACTTTCTTGTTTTTTTTTTGGGGGGGGAGGGGGGACAGACCAGGGTTTCCTTCTTAGACCCGCTTGGGAAAGGCTCCAAAAGAGATTAAGCCGTTCAATAGCTGCCCTGTAGTAAATCCACCAGAGGCCGTAAAGGAAATGGTCTTCCGGATCTCCTGATTCGGGTTCAATCCTAGTGGGAGGGTGTATTAACTAGGGCATGTGTTTGTGTTTCTCCTTTTTTTCTTCTTTTTTTTTAATTAAAGGTGTGTTTGAATATTCACACGGCATGTTGTGTACTATGTTCATGTATGCATATTTATTGTATATTTTCCCGCAGGTGAAGGCTATGCAGAACCAGCTGAGTGCACCGGTGGAGAAGCTGTCGGCGGACCTCCAAGCGCTCAGCTCGACCAAAAGAGCTACGCTCAGCGCCCAAGCCGCTCAGGCGTGGTGTTGGCGCGTGCTGCGGAGGTTTGTGCCCATTTTATGGTGAGCTCACCAGGGGGTAAAACGAGCTCACCGTGTAGCTCCTTTACCTGGGAAATTGTCAGAAACTGGGGTTAATTACACATGGGAGGCGGCTTTGAAAATGGTAGGATGATGGGGCCAGTATAAGGGCCTAAATCCTCTCAACGGGGGGGATGCTGTTAAGCCATAGAACCGTTTGGTAGACACTGAGCATCTGTACTTCAACTAAGTGTCCCAGGCAGCCCGTCCTTGCATCGCCGTCAGAGCTTCAAACTGGTGTGTTGTTTAAAGTTTATGCACGGTTCCTGTCAAGACCAAATTCATGCACCTCACAAAGAGTGATTGCAATATCACCCATGCGTGTCCGGGCCATGGGAGCTCCTTTTTCATACTCTGATTTGTCCAGACGCTTCCTGCTTTGTGGGGGGTTCCCGTTTAAAATAAACTAACAAAAGCAAAAGAAGAGCAACACATTTTTTTTTTAAATCAAGCCATTGATTCGTGGCCACTTTTTGTCTTCTTTCCCCTGTGGCCACTTGGAGCTGGGTCGCTGACCTTGAGCTTTCAGGCTGAGGCCTGGCTCCCGGCCCCGGCGCTCTTGGCCTCCGGGGGAAGGCGCAGCCTCTACGCCACCGTGGCCTTGTCCCCCCAGCGCCTCGATCGATCGAGACGAAAGCGAGCGCCGGGTGTCGGTCTTCGGCTCCGTGAAAAGAAGCCCGGATGTTCGGAGGGTTCTTAATGTTCCCAGCCCAAAGGGAAACCCAGGGGATGGGTAAGGTCATATGTTTTCCAGACCCCCTGTTCAGTACCAAGGCTTCTCAAAATGACTTGTGGCGGTGGGAACCTCGTTAAAGCACTCTTAAGAGGGTATGTCGAGGATGTCAGTTGACTGACGTGTCTTTTAGGTTATACCTTTGAGCAAACCCCCAACTCTCCCACGAGCATTCATTTTGGAAACTGGGATAGGGCCACTTTCGTGATACAAAGGTAACCCCCAAATAAAGCAGCCATGGGAATGACCCCATGTTGGTAGCGGTGTCCCATGCTCAACAGCTATGGAGGGTTCTACCCAGGGGTGGCCTCTTGAGCCAGGTTGCCTGGAGGCTTCACTTCCCGGAGGGTGTGAAAACGTAAACCCTTGAGTTCATTAAACCGTCAGGGGCCGGCTTACAAGAAAGCCATGGAAAGCCTCAATGCCATACTTTAGTTGGTTGCGTGGATTATGATAATACGTTCCTGTTGTAAAAGGACCCACAACCCTTGTCGGTCGAACATGAAGGCGCCCCTTCAGCAGTACAATTGGGGGGATAATTTAGGGTTTGCCGTTTCGGCCCATCTTGGGTTGCCTGAACTGGGGATTGTACCCTTCAGGATTTGCCTTTGTATGTTCCGTTTTTGTCGAACGTACAAATTAGCCCTTGTGCAAGAATCCTACGTACATGTGAGGGGTTACTCTATTGCCCTAAAAGGCAAAAGGTAGGTCATGTTGTTACAGCATGTTGTTGTATGGCACCGGCCTGTACTAGCTGTGCTTTTGAAATGCCGGGTATGGAGATTCGTCGGTGTCACTCATGTTGGCTGGCTGGCGGTTGATTTTCTTAGCGCCACCAAAGCAACATGTCATGTGGGACCAGGCATTCTGGCACAATAGCTGCAATTCCCAGCCCAGTGTATATCCTTTGTCTTTTGGCCAAAAGGTAACCCCCAAAGCATCCCCCAAACCACTTAACAGTTTCGTGTTTCCTTTTAGGGACGCCTTCACGCCTTAAGGTAGGAGGCATAGCGTTACAAGCTGAACTCAGGTGTTGAAACCTTCTTGAAGAGGCCTCGGTTTGCCCTAAACGGGGGTCTTTACGAGCCTTGTCCGTCCATCCCCATCGACACCTTCAAAAGGACAAGGCCAGTAAACCTTCCCTCCGATCCCGCTTCGATCCTTTCAACTCACCAAAAGGCGGTCGACAGCTTGACATGAGTCGTACAGCAAACCATTAGGTTTTATTGGTTGCTCATTAAAAACACACAGGGTTTGCTGTGCCTTAAGCACATATAAATATAATATACACACACATTATACGTACAACAACATGCACGTATGCGTGTTCATATATATATATATATAGCACGAGAGGGAGATGCATTTCAGCTCCGAGGCTGCTGCCCCTGGAGCCAGACGAGGCCCTTGCCGCGGCGGAGAACCTGGCCCAAGCCACACCCGGCGCATGGCCAGAGGTGCCCCTCGAGGCGGCGGGTGTTTTTTGGCCGAAGAGTTCGGCGTTCAGGTGGCCTGTGCGGCTTTTTTTGTTCAGGGAACCCTTTTTGGTTATTTTAAGGAAAGGACATCATGAATAGGAGGTTTCCCGGGGGAGGCCCCCGGCCCCGTTCTAGGGAAGTCAAAAGGGAAACCCTGATTCTTGGGTCCCGTACAAACACATAGGGCAGCTGATCTAGATGGGTTGTAGCAAATGGGCCCGGTCGCTTGCGCCACAGGGCGCAATCATGTGTCTGTGTGTGTGCAGCATCCTAGAACGGCAATTGGGTATGTGACAAATAGGGGGACCACAACAATGGGTGGGGTTTCCTCTTGGTTCCGAAAAGAGTACCCTTCACAAAAGCACAGTCCCTTTTGGGTTGGTTTAATAAACACCTTTTTGCTGGCGGTTGATGTTCGAAGAGGGAAAGGACAAGAACCCTGCCAGAGGGTACCAAGGTTGCCCAACCCTAAACTATGGATGGACCAAACAAGTGTTTCCTGATATTGTTTTCGTTTGTTCAAACAGTGTGGCACCCAGCTACTTTTCTACTAGGTAACACGGGAAAGCCACCATGTCACATCTAGAGGTAAACATAAACATCATAGGGCCCCGTCAGTTGCCTTGGGCAAACACGCAATCTGGGAGTGCTTCATAGCAGTCTCTGTGGCATGGGACATTGTCCATTTAGCAAAGCTGGGCCCTTGAGATTGCTGCTGGAAGGGATCAGATCAGGCACCCCTGACTTTGGACCGCTGGTTTGGGGGGTTGAGCCCGGTTGGCCCATTGCTTTCGCAAGCTCCTAAGGTCCGAGCCAAGCCGGGGAGGGGGGGGGAGAGGGGGGGAGGTGACCCGCGGTTTCAGGGTTCGACGCTTCGACCTCCGAGCGTTCGCCAGGACCTGGCCGAGGCCAAGCTGCAGCTGAAGGCCGCCCAAGCAGCGGCCAGAGCGGCGCAGAGTAGCGCCTCAGCCTGGAACCAGATCCACACCGCAAGACGTGGGGCCCCGCGTCGTTCCTTCGTTTTTTTGTTTGGGTGTTCCGTCTTTTTTTGGGGGTAGAGAGAGGGTGTTCCGTTTTTGGTGGTTGTGTTTTATGTGTTGTGTTTTGTTTTGGGGGATTTGTTTTTTTGAGGGGGCTCGCTTTTTGACGTGGGTTTCCGTTTTTGAGGGCTGTTCCTTTTTGACAGAGGGTGTCCCTTCAAAATCAAGAGAGTATATAGGAACACAAACGCCCGTTCTGTTCATGGCTGCTGGAGGTTTGAGCCTGCTTAAATTCGTTTGGAACCAGACACTTTTGGAGTGTCCCCAATTTTGGGCGGTGCCATTTGAGCTTGCGTTACTGTTGGTTTACCTTCAAACCAGCCACGTTGGGTAAAGGGCGGACATGTTTGAGCCGCGCCCAGTGGGGACGATCTCATCTAGTGAGGATGTTCCCAGAAAGTTGGCATGGTAAAGATCCAGTCCTGGGGTTAGGTCAAGCACTGGGATTGATTTATCTTGACCTGGCACTTCGCAGGCTTTGAGAAAGGCGCAGGCTTCCAATTCTGAAGAGGACACCATGAGGATATGGTCTTGCTGGTTGAATTACCCCGGTCCATTCATCCAGGACTTGCTTGTTTCGGGGTTTCTCCAAGCCTCCAAAGTATGATCAACCCACAAGGGTGCAACACAAACCGATGTTTCCTTTGTCAGGTGGGATTTGTCTACCAGCTTGTGTCCCTGTCGAATGGGGGCAGCCTGGCTTTTCTCTGTCGGAGGCCCCAAGATCCGGGCGGTCTACGAGGCCACGCGCTTGCTGAAGCGTTTGGACGAGAAAACGGAGGAGTTGGAGGAGCGGACGAGCGCCAAGGACGCCCGCATCGGGCGGGGGGCTGGACCGTATCTGAGTCTCCTCATGTTGTTATACTTTAGGGACACGTTACTTTGCCCGCCCCAGTGATCGGTTCCAGAAAATCCACTAGAGTTGCTATCCAGGGCAGTGGTGTTGATCTCACTTACCGCTTGCTACGGCCAGGCGTTTGGGATCAACTGGAATTCAGTCTGGATTCGCCTGCCAGGAGCCCGAGGATAGTCTCTCTGAATGCCTAGCTGGATGGAGGGATGCCGCATTGCCAAAATTAGCTCACCATGTTCACACTTGTTGCCTTACCCTTTGTTGTTTGTTTGCTTGTTTGTTTTGTTGGTTCGTTTGTTTTCTTGTTCTAAGGGACCCAAGCAAACTGAAAGGTGGCGTGTTTTGCCTTTTTGGTGTTGGTTCATTTCTTGACTGCTTGACTTACCACCTTTTTCCAAGACTTCACCACGATGTTCGACTTTTTGGTGAACTTCACGTTCCTTTCAACCAGCAAAAAGTTCAAGCCTGTGGTACCTAGTTCTTTCCCTGCAAGCAATAGGCGCTTGTGGTTCCGTCTTACCTCGTTTCGGGCTGGCAGTTCGACATCTCGTCCGGCTGTGTTGCCAACCATTGTGATGCGGGAAACAAATAATTCGCTTTTTGCGGATCGGATCTGTCTGGCCCAGGTTGCTGAAGTGAAGCAGCTGACCAGTGGCAGCCACATCCGAGTCAGAAGGAGACATGGCGAGGACATGACCAGCCGCTGGCCGGAAAACATCGCAGCTGCAAAATCACCTGGTCTTCAGTCAGGAGTTGTTTGTCAAGAGGTCTATGGGGAAAGGTGGGGAAAGGGATTTATGGCCTTGTGAACTCCTTAAGGCTTTTTTTGCGTGCTTGTTGCATAAGGAACAGGTGTCTGTATCAGGGAACCGGAGATCGCTACCTCGCTGCCGCAAAGCGTGTCCTAGGGGTATCCGTTCAGCAGTCTAAGAGTCCTCAAGGCACTACCGCCCGAAAAGGGATGATGCAATATTAGCATCAGAGGTGGCAAAGTTTGTGTTTGTGTATATATATATATATGTAGACATGGACTTGTCAAACAACAAACAAACACACAAACAAACAAAAGCGTCATATGCAATCAATTTCTAGAAGACTAATACATGAATACATGTCATGTTCTCCTGGGTTATTACATCTTCACTGTACATATCATTTTCTCATTACCTCTTTATGGTACAAACTTGTACATAGATGTATTACAACTCCGCTCCACATGTAACTGTAACTTTGTCGTTGTTTTGCCTCTTTGCGGTACATACACATTATACATATATATAAATATTTATATACATATATATATATATATGTACACGCGTACATATTATATACATACATATACATATTCATTTGTATCACACATGCATTACGCGTGTCATATACGCACAGATCACTCCATGTGCTTGGGATCTGAGGTGCGGAGCTCCGGGTGGAAACGAAGCTGGTGGCCACCGGGGAGCCGGGCACCATGTACACGGTGTGGGAGGTCACTGCGCTGGACAGCTCCCAGGCCTTGGGTCGGGTTTTGGGAAACCGGGGAAGGCGACCGGACACCGTTGGGAGTCAAATGGGGAAAACCGCACGCATGTTGGGTACTTTTTTTTTGGTGGGAGCCAAAAAGCGGAAAACGAAAGTGATTTTGGGTGTGCCCCCCTAGTTTGACAGAGACCCATTTATGCTCAGTGAGTCAAAATCAAGAGTAAGTGAAGACGGGACAGTTTCTATGGGTACGGACATCCATTGTTTACATGCTTTAAACAGTTTTGGATAGGTGTCTTTAGTACCAGGTTTGATTTTGATTCCCTTGTCGTCTCATACCGGTACTCAAGTAGAAGCAGTAGAGCAATGGCTATTGCGCCCAAACGGGGCAGCCCAGGGAGATGCCCAAGTTTCAGGGCAGGAGTCGTTCAACTTGTGGGCTTTGGGGGCTTGTGGGTTTCCCGTTTGGGATAGGGTAATCTTGATGTCAGAGTTTCTCCGAGCCTTTCAGAGACTCCTGCGGCACTTCAATTCCTGCCAGGAGTGACATTTCCAAAGGACCCAATCCAGCAGCCTAGAGCAAAAAAGGTAAGCCTTTACTACCACATGTAGAGACTCTCCAAGATTGCTCGTGTTGTTGCTTTCCAGAAGAGGGGTAACAAAACCAGCCACCTAGGGTAATCATGGCCTTGAGGGGAACACGCGAATTGCCTTCTCTTGCGCTTTTGAGCTAAAAGCCTAGCAGCCTCGGTCTGGAATTGGACTAAGATCCGCTCTCTGAAAGCCACGCAGGTGCAATACTTGGATCTCCTGCAGCCGGGTACCACGGTGAGCATTCCCTGCGAGGCGACTGCACAGTAGCTTGGCCGAGGAGTCAGCCAACAATGGTCTGAAACTTCCTGCGCTTCGTCATGTTCTTTCAAAGATAAAGTGCGAGAGTGAGATATCCTCCTATAAAGATCGACCAGGGAGGAAGCCGCAAGTGTTACTAGTGTTTTGAGGTGCGTCCCTCTTCAAGCTGATTTTGAACTCTCTCTTGAGCTCCTCCCCTCTTGCGTCTCAGACTTTGCTTTTGCCATGGTACTTGCACGGTGCACGGTATTGAACACTTTATTTGTCAGATTTACGCTCACGCTTGCCGTACAACTTCAAATAGTCAAGCTTCAACGCCCCAAATGATAAGCACGCTTGCACGGGTGCGCACGGTTATTTCCCAAGCACCCGCTAGGCAAGAGAGAACATATGTAGGGCTTCACGCGGCCAACACTTTTGCTGACCACACGCTCCCCCATAGTTGCTTGCCGGACATGCCGTGCTTCGCAAGGCCCAGCAGAATCTAAAAACATCAGGAGCCGGCTGAACAGAACGGCTAATCTTTGTGGAGCTTGGGCGCGGCTTGGATACCCTTTTCCGCAAAATACTGCGAATTCCCAGCAAATTGCGTGTACGTCACAGCGGGGCGCGTTTTGATGGTGTTTTCCTTTTGGGCGGAGCGTTTTTTTCTTGAAGCTTCCAGCCACAAGGTCCATCGCTGTTCATTAGCAAACTTCATAGCAACAAACTAAGTACGACAAGCCCTTGTACGCGTTTTGCTCATGTGGCTCGATGGATAAGTTTGATTTGGTTGTTTTAAAGAGAAGCCGGAAGGAACCATCGATTTCAGGCGTTCCATATTCCATTTGCAAACTATCCTTGTTAGGTAAGTATTTGTGTTCACAATTTCCCGTTGATTATCCCGTTAACACACCCCCAACAAGGGTTACCATCACAGAACGATTAGCCCAACTGCGCCATGCTCAAAGCCCCTTTTGATTGGGCATCAACTCTTCGATCGGCAATCTAGACCACCAAAGGAATCCCATCAAGGGAGCATGTGGTCAACGTGAGTTGTTGCCATAGCGCAAATGCATGGGGAACCCCAATGTAACCCTTGTTTCATGAGGACTTGGTTTTCCTTGGCTGGCTGGAAACTTTCTTTTCGCCAAATGGAGGCCGGCGCCGACATTTTGCCCGGCCAGTTTCACACCGAGGCCGCAACCTCCAGAGCGCTTGGAGGACGAAGCAAACTTCTCGGAGGAAGGGGAGGTGCTGCTGCGCACCGCTGAAGGCCTTGGGACCCAAATGTGTCGAAGGAACTATCTTACATGATTATTGTTTGGGTGTATTTGAATGTATTCCAACAATGTTTGGTTGTATCTCAAATTCATTGGGTGTATCCGCCAAACAATGGTTGGCCTATGAGGTTCACTTTAAACCAAGCTGATACAGGTACGCAGACACATTTGGGTTAGGATCCAAATGGATATGCAACCCCAGGTCACTAGCTGGTCTTTGGGAACATCCAGTTTTTCTTAATCAAAAAGAGGAAGCTCTACAATTGGTTGGTTTCCTTTGGTAGACTACTGGATCGCTTGACTGAACCTCAGGCAGCTGTTATCAAACATGAAGCCCCTTTTGGATTGTTTTCCTAGGGAATCCAAAAGGAATCCATTAGCTTTTTGGGCCTCAAATGTTGGCAGCTTGCTGCTTGTTTCCAAAGTGGTTTGAACCACCAGCCCATGCCGCTGCCCCTGCAGCGAGAAATCGACGTGCAATGTGTTAGTGCTAAGACCGGCAAGAGTTAGTGCTTAGATATATTATTGAATTGTCCCATCCGTCCGGATTCAACATTCATATTTTTTTCCAGAAGAATCCCTCGTCAATCACATCCGTTTCGCAAGGGTTCATCAACGAATCCTAGTTGACCCCCAATTAACCTGTGGCCCTGTTGCGAACCCCTCATGCCAGTTGTTTGCAAGATCCCTAATCTCCAACAGACAATGATGTTGTCAACCCCTAGTAAGCGCTTGTGTCCCCCTGTAACTTTTCTGTCTAGTCGAACCAGGGTTATACGCCACTGGTGGCCAAGTAGACACTCGCTGGACGCACTTCCGTTCGAAGCCAGGCTGGCCGGGCTGCATCGAGGTGGGGGTATCCACGCGTGCAGCGGGCAGCACCCGAGGCCTCTTTGCGACTTAGCCAATTGGAACTTTGGAGCGTGGGTATAGGGATGTGGACCCCAACATGGCTTTGGCTTTCCTTTTGGTTTCCCTTTACACCGAGCACAACACTCAAAAAAAGGTATTTTGGCAGAGGATCCCATCATATTTCCCGTTAACGATGTTAACGCCAGCTTACACATTTGTTTGGGCTTGTCTCTCAGTTCGTGGTTTCTCTTTGGCCCACTGTTTGAAAAACCCAACAAAGGGTACCGGAACTGGGATGATCTTCGATTGGCTAGCCATTGGGTGGGGTGTGACTTCGGTGACGAGCCTCTCCCAGTACCCTCAAAACCCACGTGGCGCATGGCTCGTTTTGATCTTGGTTTTCGATTGCGGCTCAGGTAAACCTGGGCGCGCTGGGGGTGGAGCAAGGCTGCTTCCAGAATCCCAGTCGCAAGCGGCGGCTTCCGCCTTTTGTTCCTTTTTTGCTTGGGGTTCCGTGGATTTGTTGTCTGTTAGTTTGAGACATGTTCCTTTCTGTTCTGTTCGAATCAACAAGCAGGGCATCCTTTGTTTCATTCCATTTAGGCTTTGCTGCAACATGTGAGTGTGTTGCTAGGTGGCTGATCTCGACATTCAGCAACCAGCTTTCCCTTCAATTCACATCTTAGTTTTCGCCACTCGTCCCTTTAGGTTCACCAAAAGAATGGCGAGCCATTTGTCCCGGGTGCGCAATTGCACACGCGAGGAATGACTGCAGTCACTCGGACCACTTCGAGGCCGCTTCTCCGGCCCGCTGCGCCGAGGCCTGGCGGGGATCAATTTTGTTTAAGGAAAAACGAAGTCCCTTGCGACTTAGAAGTGGCTGGCAACACTGATTATGGGGTTACACTTGGTACTCGTAGTTGTTCGGTGGCACTCCTTCTTCCTTTGGTGGGTACTCCACAGAAATTGTCGACTTCATTCCCGATTTCTAGCAAGGTGTTGTAACCCGGAGGAGAAACAACCGTGGGAGCTAGGGAGCTACAATTGGTGTTTGTGTTTTTCCGGGGCAGCCCCAAGCTTGGTCAGACAAAGAGTACTCGAGGTAGATGGGGGAGGCTTAGGCAGACTCACTATCGTTCGCAACAGTTTCCCTTTTGTTTCTCCAGCTATCTACGCTATTTCCCCTTTTGTTTTCGCGTTACGAAGAAAAACTGTCCAGCCCATTCGGCTTGGCCAGGTCTGCCAGCGGATCGCCGCCTGCGGCGCGTGGACCTTCTGGGAGGCCACGGGCACCTGCTGGCTCCGGGCGAACTTCTTGGCGCGGATGAAGAAGGGCGCCGTGTCGGGCGCAGCCGCCTGCGCCTGGGAGCTGAAGAAGAAATCAATTCGGAAAGGGGCGAAAAGTTGTGGAAGAAAACACTTGCCCCCTGCAAAGGGAACGCAACAGGATGTTGTTCAAACACCAGTGGTCGTTTGCATCACCCCTCTTTGGCGGTTTCAAACATCAGCTTTTGGGGCCGTTTTGACACTCGGGCAGCTACTAGGGCTCTTGGATCCCATCATAATGCCAACCCTCACGGAGCCATTATTTTCGGCCAACCCTCCCCCAATTCTGCCTTCCATTTCTGGGTTCTTGTTTGACACGTGTCAACACTCAAAGGTTGACTAGACAACAGCATAATAGTCTGGACAACACAGACATGACCCCCGATGTGCAGCCAGTATGTGTAGTGGTCACCCCTCTAAGATTTGTCTCAGTGAGCTGAAAAGTAAATCTCATCTTGGGCTGCGGATGTTAGCCACGGAAATGCTCAAACGCGACCATTTGTGCAATCCTGTTGCCTGTAATTGTCTGGTCGAGACCCCAACACGTTTGACACCCGTTGTCATCACTTCTATTCTTTCTTTTGATTGCAAGTCGGGAACAAGGATACACCGGCACACAAACAGCTGGTACTTAATCTAGCAAGCTTACAAAGCAGGTTGGCACCCTCTTCCATGATAACAGTTCCTTTCTCGGGGTGTCTTACTTTTGGTGGGCGAATGAATGTAATGCACCCTTCGTTTTGGAACATGCTGTTATGTCAGTTTGCTGTTGTGATGCCAGACTTCTCCCAACACAGGTTGGATTGTGTCAAAATAGGGGACCCAAACGGGTTGTTTGTTTTCTTTTGGTTTTCCTTGTAACATTTCAGCATCTAGCATTCACATTTCGCGCTTTGTTTGTGCCCAATTGCATTCTTTACTATAGGGAAACTTCAACACAAACACACCCCAGGTTTTGATTCCGCTTGGCGAACCCTCAAAAACGAACCCTCGAACGCCCACAGCATGGTATCACCACTTCAAACACCCCAAAGGTCCCAAGACAGACGGAATCTCTGGTTGGTGTCACACCAAGCGAAACGTCCCCCAGCCCCCGACCCGCAACGGCCTGCCAGGCGTGCCGCCCGTCATCGCCGGAAAGGCACCGACGCTCTTCGCCCTGGTCACGGGGAAGAGCGGCACCACGCCGCCGGCGGTGTGGGAGGTGACTCGGGGAATCGGGCGGGGCTTGGTGCGGTAGGAATGACGAGTCGATTCGGGGTTGGAATGAACCGGTTTTAGGGATTCCTTTAAGAAAGGAAACCATGGGTTGGATGTTTATGTTTTTGGTCATCCCTTAGACCAAACTGTGGCCTCTTTACTTTGCATTATGTGTTTTGCCTGGGAAGGGAGGTTTTGGGTATGGGAAAGGGTTGTGTAACAAAACACGTAAATAAACATGTTGCAGCAACTCAATGTCCGTTCGAACACACAGAGGCCATGTTTGTGTGTGTGTATGCATACATGTATGCGTGCATATGTGTGAATCTGTGTGTGTGTGTGTGTGCGAGCACCTTACCTGTCATTCCAGTATGTCTCGTAACCCTGCCCATTTGAACCACCCCGGAGCAAATCCAAAAAAACAACAGTGGCTACAAATAGGCAAAGTCATGTCAGCTTTCAAATGGGTCTGCGCCGGCCCGGCGGAAATGTAATGCGCATTTGGCCGCAGTCAGGCAAGAACATTTGGTGTGTTCAAGCCGGCCCGGCGCAAATCCAAAGACAACGGTGGCTACACACAGGCGAGGTCAAGTCCAACTTGAAGATGGGGGTTTGCACCGGCCCGGCGCAAACCCGCACACACACACACACGCACACCAGCCCAGCAGCTGGCAATACATAATGTGTGACGTTCTTGCCTGACAGTGGCCAATATTGCAACAGATTTGTGCCGTGCCGGCACAAACCCGTTTTTCTACTGACATTACCCTATTTGTAGCCACTGCGCCTTTGGACTTGCGCCGGGCCGGCGCAAATGTGCCAGATGCTCTTGCCTAACGTTATTGCCAGACCGCAACCAAGTGTGGCCTAACAATATTCCTCTCCAGCGTACATGTTGCCATTTTTTCTATACTAGGTTTGCATCCAGTTTCAACTTGCGTTTTTTATATTGCGCCACTTCAGCGTGGGGCCACTAAACTTTCCTGTTCTCAGCCAAGCTTCACCAGTCCAGCGTGGATGCACCCGAACCATCTTCTTTTCAGACAGGGCGTTGTTCACCCTGCGTGTCAGGTAGCTAGACAAGACGGCCTGTGTGTGCTTGCCCTAGTTTTTCTCCACTCGTGCCACGCGGAAAGTTGCCTCTAGCGCTGGTTTTCTCGTGCATTTTCGTTGGATGCGTGCCAGACCCTTTTGGTCACTGTTTCAGACCAAGCAAAATAGAAAAGCTTCACAAGCGACAGTCCGCGCGCATTCCGCGTACATTTTTGCGCAGCACGTTTGCCTTGCCTGAACGGTTCAGAACGGTTCCGAACGGTTCCGAACAGCTTCTTTCAGGGTTAGGAGCAATGCGTGCAAGGGCTTTGGAATTTCAGTCGCTGGGGTTAGTTTGGACGCTTCATTTGTTTGTTTCCTCGCAACCCCTGGCAAAAGCCGTCATCTTGGAATCTGCAAGCAGTGAGACTGCTTTGACTGCTTCGCCCTGAGCAAGAATGCAAAGTGGTCATGTGTCGTGTCAGGTGGCTCAAGCTTCCCACGCCCTCACCCGGAATCCTGGAAATCACCATTTGCGCTCGCATTGTGACTTTGAGGTTTCCGACAGGCGCTACCGCTACATCCGCTTTGACTTCTTGTGCAAAACTAAATTTGCAACATTTTCAAGCATACTAAGCATGACATGCCAGAAATCTCGCAACGACGTTTGTGTTCGTGAGTTGCCTCCAGGACGATCGGTGGAGACAACTCATTACAATCAGAAATGCGCCCAAACATTCAAACAGCTGAACCGTTCTGAACCGTTCCTGCAAAGCAAACCCGCTACAACCTGAACCGTTCTGAACCGTGGCGGGTCACGGGCGTCCACAAACGCATCTTGTTTCAGAACCGTTCTGAACCGTTCTGAACCGTTCCAAGCGTTTCCTACCCACGGAACCGTTCTGAACCGTTCCCGAGGCCAGCGCACGGACGCAGAAGAACCGTTCTGAACCGTTCTTTAGACCGTGATTTGTCTCAAGATATTAGCCTTACACATCTGTCAGGATGTAGCCGGTTCTTATTCTTGACTCGAATGCTCGATCTTGAAGTCTTAAATTGGCACAAGCTGCTTCTTACTTCTTGCCGTGAGCAAAGAATTAGTGGGCACAACTGTAGTGCCAAGCCAATGTAGCCACAGACCATGCCTTCGCAATTATGTTCTTAAGATGTCTGATGACTTGGCCTTGCAAACATGTCGGTATGTGTTGTCGCAGTGCCACGCTGAACTTCATGTTGCTTGCAAAATTGATTTCCTATGCATAATTATGCAGTTTATTGTTTGCATACTATGTTGCAAGATGTTGTGAGCAACTACATGCAGGGCTGATTGTGTTGAGGCTGGTTGTTTGCCGCAGGGGCAGGGCTAACTTACAACGTGAGTTGCGACGTAGGTTGTTACGTGGGTTCTTTCGTGACCTTAAAGGTTCGGAACTGCCCAACACGTAAAGAGGCCACAGTTTGGTCTAAGTCATCCCATTTCTCATTCTCTGCTGAGAACCAGCAAGAGTTATTTTTGAGGGGCTAACCTGGCCGTCGTCAAACATGGTGAAACATGGCGTTTGGCATTCTTGTCGTGCTGGTCCTTAGTAGGAAATCAGGCATGGCACCCCTGTGAATGGAGCCAACGTTTCATTTCCAGAATTTCGGGGAGCAAAGGAAAGCTGGAACTGGCAATGAAGTTTATATGGTTTGAAGCACCCTCAGAAGTGCTTGGCTGCATAAATTCCATCGAATCCCAACAAACTCGTAGCGAAACCATGTGTTTTAATTATATTTTAGCAAGGCTTCCCATGTTTGTTGACAGAATGATTCAGGTTTCGGAGCGAGTTTTTGCCCAGCATTTGCTTTAGCTTGCCGCAAGCACGCTCTATTCATCCTTCTCATCCTAGATGTTTGGGACCAGGCGCATGCGTTTCCTTCGCCCTACAGTAGTTTCCTACCTAGTGGTCGTTATAACCTACAGGGCTGGTGAGAAATCAGCTGGTTTCCAGAAATAACCTTAAGTGGAACTTTGAAGGTGTAACAAAGCAGATGAACTTAGTGTCGAATTGAGCGCCGCAGTTTCCGCAAGTTGGCAGATGTTCTAACTTCTTTGTGGAGATTAGTGAGGGCCCAGATCAGCTAGCCATGTCCTCCAATGGGAACATCGTTTAGCTGACGATTCTTCCACTTACGGAAGGGACCTGCAGAAACTAGACCACCAGACCACACTTAGTCAGGTTACTTTCCTTAGGGAGTGTCTAGTTTGACACTTTTGACTTTGCGACTGGCCGTCGAATTATCCCCCCGATGTTTGCTTGGTGACAAAGAAAACCATTTAAGCAGCGCCCAAGAGGCCGTGTGAGGAGGTGGTTCTGCTTGGGTAAGCGTTATAACAGGGCCCATATAAACCTTGACGCCTCTTTTGATAGAACCAAAACGGGTTTCGGGCAACAAGGAGTGGGACTTGGTGGCTACGCTGGAAGAGTTCGGCCACCTCACCCTCTCGGAGATCCAGCGTTTGCCCTCCTCCTCGCGCCAGCGCACTGCGCTGCGTGTGGCGGCAAAAGCCACACACGAGACGACGGATGGGTGGAGATGAGCGGGCAGCACAAACAGAAGGAGGAGAAGCCAGGAGCCTTGGGGATCTGCGATTTTGCTTGGGGGGGGGAGGAGGGTCTCCAACCCTTGAAGTTGTTCGTTTTCTGACGTCAGGGCCAGAGTTGTTTGTCGATTTGCTCCATGGGGTTGCCAGCCAATAGGAACATGTTTTATTTGCATGTAGATAGGAGGACGACGCTACGACGTTGGTTGTTGTCAAACTCGTCGGCTGCTGCTGCCCCAAAAGTATCACATGAGGTCATATCAGCAAGATGTCCCTCAACAACAGCTCAGAAAGCAAAATAATGCAGTTTATTGGCACAATATTACTTTGTTTTTTGTGAATATGTTGCTCCTGTGTTTATTTGGTTCGGGGGTGAGACGCCTGGAGGAGCTTTCCAATGAAGCCGCGCCCTACTAGTACAAGCCCAAGGTAGCGACGAGCTTTCGACGCGAGAGGTCGGATCGTCCACGGAGCTGGCGTGATCGACGGAGACCAAGTGGGCGACGAGTGATCGACGGCAGCCGACTGAGTGGCATGAGCGCCTGGAGGCTCCAAGGAAGTGGTACTTTCTATGTCAATAGGAACCCCATGGTTGGTGTGGTTGTGCGCCCCCAAAACCTGCCCAAGTATTGGCATACACGGAGCCTCAGGGGATGCAGGGGATGCAGGGAATGCCGCTTGCTCCCGTGCCAGCATTATTGCGAGTATCAAAAGCATTTGTTGGTGATTCATCCTCTTGCCAACAATCATGGAAGCGGACAGGAGGGTTTTTGAAAACTGCCATCCACTTGGCAAAGGCCCTTGTGCACTTCCAGGTGTGCAACAACGATTTGATGATCCTCAGAATAGTTCCTTGATTTTTGGAGACATAGTAGCACATCTGGCCATCGCAGTTGCTTTTCGCGAGCAGGTGGTGGCTCAGTGCGTGCAGGCCTCAGAAGTCAGAGTTCCGGGCTTGACATTTGAATCCGTCAATTAGTCCGTGAACTTCTAAATTCCCGCACCAAAGTCAGAGAGTAATTGTCCTTCACGGAGACCACCTCGGACCATGGTTCACATGCTGGCTATTCAGCCGACTGATTCCATCTACATAATTGGTAGCCATGGGAATAGCCCTCAATAACTAAACAGCAGCTGGCTGCTTACCTACTACAGCGCTACTTTGGCATCCATTGGTCAGTACGTATGATGGAAAATCTGGCTGCACCTAGTGTATTTTGATTTCGATCTCGCCACAACTGGAGATTTTCTGACGTCAAATTGGGGGTGCATTTTTTGAGGGAGCTCTCTCTGAAGCTTGTTTCACTGGCAAGCCAAACCGAAGCCGAATCGAGCTTCCGCTGGCCGAGGAGCAGGATGCGAAGGAGGTGCTGGCGATGATCACAGAAGTGGAGGCGGGTTGCCCAGGTTGTCAGGATGCCAAGGCCCCTAAAAGGTAAATGGCTGTGGGTCAAAACCAATGGTACCATTTTGGGGTAGGTGCACCACCCATTTTAGTGGGGATTGGGATGCTCACTGGGGGTACGGGCTTTTGACCCGTGGCCAAATTTTCTAACATGGCACCTGACACTGGGTCCCTTCAAGAGGAAATCCATCTACCAGGTACCTCCCCATAGGTGCCATGTCAGTGGGAGGGAGGGTACAATTTGCTGGTTTGCGCAAGCAGGTTTGCTAGAAAGGTACTGGTTTTTCGGGATCGCCTTGCGTGTGCCAGCCGCACTACCCTGCCTTTCTTGTGTTCTCTTTGGGTATCGTCTGCAGGGGGGTTCTAACCCACCTCACAACGGCCCCGGAATGATGCACCTTAGGATCTTCTTTGCAAACACCCATGGTCACCCACCGGACAGCTTCAGGGTTTGCCTCTTGGCCGGGACCGGAAGTGTAGAAACTCACTTGGAGCGGGGGTCCCATATGAAATTACAGAGATCTCAAGGCAAACTCTGATAGCAAGGATGCCCATGTAATTCCTTTCGCAGAACATGATTTCCGCAATGCCAAATCTACTTGGATAAATTTGCGAAGAGAAGTATTCCAATTCTGCTTTGCGCATGGAGACCAGAGCGCTTTATTTCACAGGCGTGCTACAGGCCGACGCGTTGCGAATCTTGCTGTACGAGCCACAAATCGGATGGACGAGCTGGCAAAGGAGCGCCTTGCAGCTATGTCTGCGAAGCTTGCTCTTCCCGCGAAGAGCCACATGCTGGCAGAGGCAATTGAGCTGATTCTCCGAGGTCTTGGCCAGCGGACATCGAGCCGCTTCGCGAAAGAACCAACCCCAAGCAGGGTACCACGAAAACACGCCAGTCGTTGCCTCGAGACCATGTATATAACCCATTCAAACATTTTCCACTGGGCCCCTCCCCCAGAAGGCTGTCAAATGGGCCCTAAAATAGATCAAAGGAGGTCGCTGTAAATCAGTGGACCTTCTTTCACCCACAAGTTATTGAGTATGGATGAATAGAGGGATGGACAATCCGAAAATTTATCTAGATAGAACAATGTCTAGCTGGGTAAGCTGGATAAATCCCTAATAGCTGGCCGGGGAGGACATGGGGCACACTCACCAATATAGAACTAATAATTTGGGGTTTCATCAAAATCCAATGTTATTGGGTGACCCAATGAATCTTGATTTTGGCTCATATTGCGGTGTTCCCCCTTGAAGTGATCCGGATTGAGCCTCTAAAATTAAAGGTCCTCAACTCAACTGTTTTTTTATGCATGCTTCCTATTGGCTATTCTTCTAGGGGTAGCTTCCCCATTCTTTTCAGGGATCCTTCTTTCTAGAAAACCACCAAAAGAATCAACCCCTAGAATTCTGCCTCATAGAATTTTGATCCCTTCGAGGCGCAGCGGAAGGAGCGGCGCCAGCTGCAGCAGCAGCGGGCGGATTGCCTGGCGGTGGGCTTTCAGAACCCCAATGAGGAGAACCAGGACCCGGAGCGCAACGCTGGGAGGGACAAGTAACCAGAGAGTGTTGGCAAGCTGCGACGGTGGGTATCCAGCTGTCTTTCTTTTAGTGCTTAAAGGGTGGTTCTGTCAGTGGTTTGCTTGGATACCACGCAGGTAGATGGAATCAATGGGCATGGTGTAAGAAGAGTTTGCCGGGACATATTCGGCGGTTGACTGGGGTTAGCGACGCGAGCAGATTCCGGGCATCCAAATCAGACCCGCCACAGGTCAGGACCTCCAAGATGTGCCTGATGCTTGGGGCACGGTTTTTGCTGACGACTTGGCTGGCGGGTTTGGCCATCCCCTTTTAGAGTTTAGAAGACCACCAAACTGTTGAAGCCTCAGTTGGTTTCCTTTAACGGGACCAGGGGATGGTTGCGTAAGCAGACTTCAAGCACAATCATGCATTCCGGCGACGGCAGTTGGGCTGGTTCCCCCATGCGTTTCATGTTGAGGGGAAAGGTTCAAAGGAGAACCCTGGCCGCTGCTCGACGTCTGATTTGTGGGGGTTCTGAAACTGGTTGCCTGGCACCCGGCACACTACCTTGCATAGGTGAGTCACCCCGGGAGTCTGAGGGTCATATAGGCAGACTCGCCTCGCAGTACACTCAAAAGGGGTCGAAAAAGGCACATCCGTTCCATATGTCACGGTAGACTTCCCTGCTGGGAACAGTTAATCTGGGGAAGAGACATGTCCCACAGGGAGTGTACAGAACTTAGGGCATCCAAGCAAAGCGGGCTGTTTCAAACGGTTGAATTGCAGAATCTATGGGAATTCGGGGCTTGCTCTAGGCAACATCTAACTGGCTCGATATTGCATGATTTTTCTATAGGCCAACCCCTCGACTCATGGTTTGCCTCAGTGGCTCCCTGCAAGCAATTGTTGCCACATGCACCTGCCCCCCCAAGAGCTTCCCAAAGTGAGAGTTTGGCTTACGTAGAGCCTCAGGGTAAAGGTGGGGCTGGAGATAAGGATCCCTCGCTTACACCTCAGCTCAACAAGCCCAGTTTGGCTGCACCGCTCAGGAGTTCGCCTCGCTCATTGTGTGCGCCACTGCTGGCATCTTCGTCGCAGCCTCAGACGGACACGTAGACCACTCTGCCAGTGACTATGAGTGCCCGTGTGAGGAGCCATTAAGATCCATGATCCATGAGCTCAAACGAGTTCGGAAGTCAGGGGAGCAGCTGCCCATCGAAACTACAGGAGAGCGTAGGAGAGCTCCAACAATTATATTCCGCAGTGCACTTCTGCTATTCTTAGAGTATATTTTGAACAGCACATACTAGCAGTTGCAAGTTCGATCCATTTCGGATCGGAAAGGTTCTGGGTGGGGAGTCCGCCTAGATTTGCCTTCCAAAGAGAACAGCCTGCAACTTGAGTGCCCGACCCACCCTTGACACGGGCTTGGAGATGTTCCAAGACTCAAACCTTCCACATGCTAGCGGATGTTTGCAGACTTCAAATCCAACATGGAGCGGCTTTCCGCTAATTGGCTCTGGCGTCCATGAATTCAGAGTGTAGAATACTCTGAGAGTGGTGGCGGCTGAGAACAGCTAGCCTTGTGTGTTCTTGTGGTGGATGGTTCTACTTTTTTTTGTTAAACCCGTGCAGCAAACTGATCTGAATAAGGGGACAGCTGCGCTTCGGGGGGAATGGAGTCACGCAGTCTTGCTTTTCCTTTTCTTTTGGGGGTTGATGGGTCAAAGCTGGCCGGGTCGGCCGGGGAAGATTGACAGAAACTGAGCCGTAAAAAGGTGGAATCGCCCTTCTCCAACCGGGGCTCCCAAAAGGAACTCCTAGTTTCGCATGCGGTTCTTTTTGAAATCAACAAGTCAGGTGTCCGGCTTGCTGGGGTTTCACGTACCAGGTGTAGTATTGCCTCACTTCTAGCGTGACCAGGGATAGGCCTTTCACAGCCAGAGAATCCGTTCTAGATAAGCAGGACCATCAAATGCGAATACATGACAAGGTCAACCAACGTCAGCCAACGTCAACTGACGTGTCCATCAACCATTGGCCAGTTTTCACAGGTGATCAAGGCGAG